GAGCCTTACAGTTATTTCCACATGGGTAATATTTTATGAGATACATTGCATTAATGGGGTCATTGAGTTCATACCCTTCCTAATTTTTTATTTTATAGGAATTGCCTACATGCACTCGGGTTACCACAAATAGCCCCTCAAATTTAGATATGAATTTACCTAATGGGTGTGGATTTGCAGGAGTGTGGAATATCTTCTTGAGCACCATGTCTTCTTCTTTGAATTGTTGGGGAACAACTTTTCTTTGGTATGCCCTCTCGATTCTACGATGGTAAGCTACGATGTTCTGTGTTGTTCATAGTCATCTTTTATTCAAAGTATCGAGGGCAGTGATTTGTGCTTCAATCTTTTGTTCCTCATCTAAATCATTATGAATGAACACTCTAAGAGATTGTATCTCAACTTCAATGGGTCGCACAACCTCCATACCATACACTAATGGGTATGGGGTCATGCAAGTAGGAGTCTTCTCATTTTTTCGATAGGCCCATAACGCATCTCATGCTAATCGTTGCCACATTCTATTATTCTATCTATAATTCTGAGCAATCCTTTGTTTTTGGTCTCTGCTTGTCCATTTCCTTGATGGTAGTAAGGCGAGGATAATTTCTGCGTTATCCCAAACCTTTTGCACACCTTAATGACTCCTTCATTTTTAAAGTTGGTTCTATTGTCAACAATGATTGCTTCTAGAATGCCAAATCTAAATATTATTCTTTATAAAATAAATGGGCAACATGTTGACCTTCAATTTTGACAAATGATGCGGCCTCTACCTATTTTGTGAAGTATTTTGTAGCCATTAGTATGTAACGATGGTCATTAGAAGCTTTCGATGAAATTATTCCGATAATATCAAGACCCTACATGGAAAAGGGCCATATGGGCAGTGTTGAGTTAAGTGGTACAGACAGTGCGTGGATGAGGTCTCCATAAAGCTGACATTTGAGACACCTCTTAACAAATTTTCAACATTCTTCGGCCATGGTGGTCCAATAATAGCATTGGCGTCTGATTTTTAGAGCCAAGGTAGCTGCCTCGGAGTGACCTCATTCATTGTGTAATTCTATTAGTACTTGGTCGATTTCTGGCTGATCAAGGCACCACAAGATGATGCCATCAAAGGATTTTTTGAACAGAAAGTCATCTCTTACTAAGAAACCCATAGAAAACCTTCGGAGGGCTACTTTTTCCTTTTTGGTGGCTCCGTCCGGATATAACCTATCTTTCAACAAGGACAAAACATCGTGGAACCATGGTTTTGCCTTGACTAGTGCATCTGAGGCCACGAAAGACACTTCCTCATCGTTCTCATTTTCTTGCTCTATTTCTTTTTTGACCCTTGGTGGGGAAGTGTTATGTTTGTGCCTGATGTAAAATGGCAGTGTTGTGACTTCTAAAGGGATGTTGACCATTGAAGCAAGGGTTGCAAGGGTGTCGACAAACCGATTGTTTCCCTAGTTACAAGTTGGAAAGAGATTTGCTTAAAATATTTATAATCTTTTCCACATTTTCTTGATAGGGTTTGAGTTTTTCTTCTTTAACCTTAAAAATCCCCTGAACTTGGTTTATAACGAGCAAGGAGTCACCAATGACTCGTATTTGTTGGATCTTAAGTTCCATGGTATTATAAAGCTCGGCTATCAATGCTTCATATTCAGCAATATTATTGATACATGGGAAATTCAGTCTGATGGTTGTTAGTATTAAAATATTTTTGGGTGAGCATAGTATAACCCCTACACCTGACCCATATTCATTCTTTGCACCATCAAAGTATGGCTCCTACGTTGAGTCCTTGTGGAGAGGTCCTCATCAAGGAGATCCTGTTAACGGGAGTGTTATCTAGCAATGCGTGTTCAACTAAGTGGTCAGCAATAGCCTGTCCTTTGGCCGATTTTTTAGTGGCATATTCGATCTCAAAGTCGTTCAATAACATTCTCCACTATGCCAAACGTCTGTTAAGGACTGGTCTCTCCAATAGGTACGTGAGTGGATCTATTTTTTAGATGAGCTTGATTGTATGAGATAAGACATAATCTCTTAAGTTTTGCATAGCCCACACAAGCGTTAAGCAATGTTTCTCCACGGCTACGTATCTCGTCTCATAGTCGACTATGGTTTTGCTGATGTAGTACATAGTTTGTTCTTTTCTATGGTCATCGTATTATCCTAATATTGCCCCCATGGTTTTGTCTTTCACAGATATGTATAGGAACAAGGGTTTGTCTGGATTAAGATGACTAAGGATAGGAGGTTTGGTTAGGTACTCCTTGCTTTGATTAAACACCTCTTGACATTCATTGTCTCATATGAATGGGGTATCTTTCTTAAGGAGCCTATTGAAGGGTGCGCACTTATCTGCCAATTGTGAGATAAAATGCCTTATGGCTTGTATGCGACCTTGAAGCCCACAGATTTCTCTGATGTTTCGGGGATGGGCCATTTCGGTGATGACCCGTATTTTGGAAGTGTTCACCTCAATGCCCATTTGGCTCACTATAAATCCAAGTAATTTGCCGGACTTAACTCCAAAAGCTCGTTTTTGTGAATTGAGTTTGAGTTGATGTTTTCAAAGTCTTTCGAAAATGGTTATCAGGTTAGCGAGGTGATCGGACCTGGTCATTGACTTGACCAAAATGTCATCGATGTAGTATTCCATGATGGTGTGCATTAAGTCGTGGAAGATGCTAGCAACTGCCCATTGATAAGTTGCCCCTGCATTTTTTAGGCCAAAGGGCATGTAACCATGATAGTAGAAAGTCCAAAATAATAGTTATCTATATACTATACTACACTACATTATTAAGCAAGAATTAAAGGGTGGACACATGTTACAAAAATAAGACCTAATTCATTACAGGTGGTAGGAGACATTCCTGCCTTTTAGAGAGAAGAAGAGAGAGTAAACTTTAAAAATATAATATATTGAATGAAAATTTTAAATTCATAGATTAATATTATATTATATTATGTTACCTATAACTTTTGTGCTCTATTCATGTAACAATTTCTCAGATTTTCTACACATGTGGGTACATACTGCACGTACGATTTAAAAATAAAAACTTCTTGTTAATAATAAAATTTTAGTTTTTCTCTTAAAAATAAGTTCCTTCATAATGTAGAAATACACTGTAAATTTTATTTAAAAATTACTATAAAAGCACCTACTACATTCAGAAAGAGCTTCTTTAAAAATAAATATATATTTCAAATTTTTAATTAATATAGTATTATATTTACCTTAAAACAATTGATGTTTAATTTTTAAAATTGATAAAAAAAAATTTGAAGCTTCCTAAAACGGATAATTGGAGCTCTTTGATCTACCATTACATCTTCTTATGCAAGGTATACCACCTCATGCGCTAAACACCAAAAATTTAATTGTAACTACCAAAATTTCACTGAATTTCAATAGCCTTTTGACATTATATGAGTCAAAACTTCATAGTCAAGCCCTAACGCCTATATGGATAAATTAAGAAAATTTTAATCCAAGTATTACAATTTAAGTAATGGTAGTTCATCTCATATATATATATATATATATATATATGATTAAATTGCATATATGAGCATACTATTAGCACTTTCATCAGCTAATCTTAGTAAGTTACATAGTTGTATTTTATTGCCAGTATTTTATGCCCAATTTGGCTGTCTATGAAAAAAAATACAATTTTTTTCCTCCTCAATTGAGAAACATTGGATGTCTATTAAAATATTAGAAGAAAATTTTATTTGCCAGATATGTTGTTTGGATGCGTTGCAATAAATTCTAAATTTTTATTTTTTCTTTATTTTTTCTAAATTCTTTTTAAAAAATTTCTTTTTATTTTTTTTGCATATTATTGATCTCTATAGAACAGTCGAAAATGGCAGAAAAATAACTCCAAATATGAAATTTTAAAGAAATAAATAAAAAATCTCAAACCCAATTTACACAATTTCAACACTTAATTATATTGATTTCTCTTAAAAAATTCCTATAAATGTAGGAGACAGAGAGAATGAGAAGAACAAGAAAAGAACCTAGAAAGCAGGAGCATGTACAAGTTCAATATTATTATTAGAAAGAGTAACTTGATGATGGGCAAAAGAGGTGAGACGTCATTTACATACCTTCATTTGCAAATGTTTTGAGATTGTAAAACATCTCTCTCTCCATACTCATAAAACCATTCATTAAATTTAGATAGAGAAACTCTATGTTAGAAAGAAAAACATCACGGTTCCTAGAGATATCGAACCCTGAATTTCTAGAGAGCATAAGAGAAGGAAATCTAAGAGTAAGAGAAGGAAATCTAAGAGTAGAAATGGTAGAGAGAGCTATATGAAATTAGGGGTAATGATGGAAAGGTAAAGTCGAACTAGTACCGCTAGATGGGATCTGCATAGTCAAAAGAGCTTTGAGAGTGGGAGAGAGGCTATTGTAAGTGTCACTTAGAGCTAGAAAGTTTGGGAGAAAGACAAGCGAAAAAAGTCGGTATAGTTGAAGATGATAAAGGAAAAGAGCTGTGAGACCTGCTTTAGAGTGGAAAAGGGGCTTTTATAAGTGCGACTCAGAGTGAGAAGGTTTAGGGAAAAATCCTAAGAGGAAAGCGAAAAAAAATTTGAGTCTAAATGAAATTTTTTTTACACATTTTGGAACAAATTTGACTTTGCGTCATAATCTGCTTTTGTTGACAATAAAATCTAATGGATTATCCAAACAGTTCCATCTCAATCTTTTTTCTTATAATTTGAAAATATTGCAATTTTTGTACATCAAACCTGGCCCTTAACTTTTGTACTTAACTTTTGTGCATAAATCATGCCAAATCAAAATAAATAACTTGCAAAGCATGTGCTTTCTCTAGTGTAATTTGAAGGAGTAAATAGATAGTATACTCCTTACCAAATCTTTTGGGATAATAATTTTAGGTTTTTTGGGCGCGCCTTGCTTTTCTGTCCGTTGACGCGCCTTGCTTTTCTGTCCGTTGAGACCCCGCATATTTCTGTACTTTCTTATCCAAAACAAAATTAGGGTTTTCCAGCAAGTTTGAAGGGAGAGGGGGGCAAGATGATGACGACGATTATCTAACTTAGTTTATCTCAATATAGCAGAGAGATCCCATCCAAATCAAAATTAGGGTTTTGGGTTTTCCAACAAGTTTTGAAGGGCGAGGGTTTCCAACAAGTTTGACGAGAGAGGGGGCGAGATGATGAGGACGTTTTAAGTTTTTCTTTTTTTCATTATTCGTTGCTTGATGCTATGATTATCATTTAGTCCGTCTCAATATAGCAGAGAGATACGCAGAGGTTCTCTTGGGTGGGTGGGTTGAGACAGGGAACTCTGAGACATGGCTGATCTCCCAAACGATTTGATGATAAAAATCCTCACTTTGCTCCCTCTTGAATGTATTCTCAGATTCAAGACTGTTTCTAAATCGTGGAATGAACTTCTTTCCTCTTCATCTTTCGCTGCAATGCATTATCTCCCATCTTCTCCTCCCTTTCCTCTGTTTCTCAACTGTGAGGATGGCACCATCTATTACTTTCCTCCAACCGAACGTGGGGCAAAAAACCCTCCCTCTCTCTACCCAATTGATTCTACCCCCCAAAAAATTTAATTTTCAGCCGCATTGTCGGCCGGTGACGTTAAATTTTAGCCATGGCATGGTTTGTTTCCAAGCATCAGATTCTCTGGATTTTTTCGTAGGTAACCCTGCAACAGGGAGATGTACCTTTCTTCTGAGACACGGCGAGATCTTCGGAGCAATGGCAACGGGTTTTTATTTTGACCCAATCTCTCTAAATTTCAAGATCTTTGCTTTGGGGATCTTCGAAGGTATGTACTGTTGGTACAGACCGCTCTTGTTTTGCTCGGTGGCTAGGAAATGGAGACCAATTCAGATACCTGATTTTATTGCCCCATGTACAGTAAAAATGGTGTGTATCGGCGCTATCTTCTATATCCTCATTGGTGATACTCTGGTGGCTTTTGATGTAGAGAGAGAAACACGGGAAGAAATCTCCACTCCGGAGAATATAAATCGCTTGAGCTCTGAAGTTCAATTATGGAATGGTCAGGTATCTTTTACCCATATAAATGGAGAACTGAAGCTGAAAATGTGGGTTTTACATGAAGAAAAAAATTGGATTCAGATGATAGAAGTGGACCTTCAGAGCATGAAGCGCATAGAAAACAGAAGTTCGAGACTTAAAATGATGCGTCCTCTTCTCTTGTTTGGCGATACATTTTTCATCTCTCTTCTCTTCGAGGAAGAGAAGAACATCATAGCCTTTAATGTGAAAAATGGAAGTGAGCGATTGATACGTGATGGTTATCCCACGAGGTCTGCCATCATATTTGATACGCACCGACCTACACTCTTATGGTGTGAACCATTTAGACCCTGAAACACTCTTATCGTGTGAACCATTTGGACCCTGAATTTGGTAGTTTCTCGAGCTTGTTCTTAATAAAAAAAATTCTCTTTCTTTTTTTTCATTTTCTTATTGTTTTTTTTCATTCATTTGACCTCTTATGTTCAAATGTTCATTGTTTTTCTACTTTTGTGGCTTTTGTTTCTACCGACCTCAAAGAATTTTCCACAGACCTCTTAGGCGGCAGACATGGATCATTGGGGACATGTGGGTGCATAGGATGCAATGCTGCAGTTCCAACTTCAAATTTAAATAGTTGGTAGTAATATATATATATATATATATATATATATATATATATATATATATATATAGTAGTAGAAGAAGTAAGTAGTAGTTAGTTACGTTTCGTTTAGTTAGTAACGTAACTTACTTAACTTAACTAACTACTACCTACCTTA